ATTATGTACTTGATCCAGATTTGTTCAAAACAGACCCATTGAACTCAGGGGACATTAATGGAACTTTGCTTATTCATCTGATTTCAGATCAATGCTCTCAGGAAAAGTAAATCTTTATCCAACACAGTGGATATAATTTTATATTTTTTATCAATTAATATGGTGTTTCAGTAGAGTAACATACATATTATTATAAGAAGATGTCTTTTTTTACTGTGCAAATGTACTGTTCTAGCCCAATATTGTACTGTATATATTTATTCAAAAGTCCCACTTTGTTTATTTCAACTTAACTCTCAAGCAAGTCTGTGTAGAACTGCAGCTGTGCAACTTCTGAATTAAAGTGCCACAGTTTCAAGAATAACTGATCATATATGGGTGAGAATACTTTAAACTGGGTTGGACCTGATCTAAATTACTTAGGAAAGAAATCTAAATTAAACCTGCCAGTATTATCATGCCATTCTCCAAATCTAAAGCAACATCATTTGAAATAGTCTGTACAGATCTGGATGCTGCACATCATAAAGGACATTTTAATGGAACAAAGGAAAAGGAACAAAAGTGGCAAACAAATGATGAGGAAACTGGAGCAACTCACCTACAAGGAAAGACTGCTATTCATGGATGTATTTATTTAAAGGCAGAAAACAAGAGAGATATATAAAATTATGCATAGTATGCAGAAAGTGTACAGGAAGTTTATCCCTCTGTCTTAATACTAAACCAGGGTCATCCAGTGAAGCATGGTTGTAGGAGATTCAAGAGCAGGAGTAGGCAACTTTTGCTTACCAGGGGCCGGTCCGCTGGTCCCAAGGTCTTCTGTGGGCCGAGGGGGGGGAATGGTGCCATGCGTGCATGCTCGCACACACATGCACAATATGCCAGAAGTACTGCACATGCGTACACTCGCATGCGCAGTACGTCCGGCATACTGCGCATGCGCGAGCGAGTCATGGACGCCATTTTGTTTTCCATTTAAAATGGCAGCTGCGACTCGTTTGTGCATGCACAGTACTCCAATGCATGCGCAAATGAGTTGCAGTGCCATTTTGGAAAACCAGAATGTGGTGCTGGGCAAAGTATATAGCTTTAAAGGGGATTTTTAAAAGGCTCTCAGGTTGCGATTAGTCATGATAACCTCATGCTACTTCTAGAATCAGAATCATAGAAACTTAGAAGGGGACCACAAAGACAGGTAGCATATTTCTGAGAATAGCAGTTGCTGAGAAACAACAATGGGAGCATGCTTATGTTACAGTCATGTCATTTTGGACTTCACTGTGGGAAACAAGAATCTGGACTAGACAGGGCTTGGGTTTCATTTACTAGGTTTCTTACATTCTTAGTTTCTGTTGAAAACAAATGAGTCTTAACTTAATCATGATGAAATTCAGTGGGAGCCTTTTACTAATTAAATGTGGAGCCAACCCAGTATTTTTATACGCATCAGTGTTATGCATTTGGAAGAATTTCCTGCTTAAAGCCATTATATATGCAGTCCTGAAATTTCTAGAGATCTGCATTTTCTTTGGAACTTTTTAGTGCATCTAAATTAGCTTCAAAGAAAACATTCATTCTCTGGTTATTCTAACAAACACAGTTTTGAGAACGCTTAACACAAATGACCTGCTTAAAAGTGGCCAAAGTCAAAATTAAGAAGATGGAAGCCAATGAATGAAAATGACTAGAAATAGAAATTTTATACGCTTTTAATCAGAGCAAGCCCTTTTTAAAAATTAATGTAGGTAGGCTAATTAGCATTCATCACTTTTAGAGTTTTTAGAAGCAGTGGAAGTTAAGTTGGTTTAATGACTAAGCAACTGGCACACATTGAGTAGGACTAGCCAAAGATATTTTCCTGCCTGAGGCAAAGGATGAGATAGCACCTTTCTTCACACAGACAGGCAGTTGAATTATATACTTCAATGAAGAGGGATGGGCTATATTCTCATATCTGGGAGTAGCAGGTTCATGTGATTGAGAGCAAATAGGGCACATCACTCTGAACTCTTTAACACCTTGCCACTGCCCCCAACTCTGAGCATCTGTTGCATCATTCATCCTCATGGGAGTGCTGGTCCTGATGTTAACCAACTATGCCAAGAAACAGAAGAAATCCCCAGGAACTTCATATATATATATATGAATCCCCAGGAACTTCATATATATATATATATATATACTTAAGCTATTCCAGTAATAAAAATTGTTTATGCTAACAAGAAAGTTATTTAGTCGATACAACTTCTAAAGTGACCCAGTTTCCCATTGAAACAATGCCATGGCCGCCATTGGATATTTTGTTTGGTGTTGGATTTAAAATTCTCTGTAAACCTGTTTCCATGTATAACCATTTTTTGTTATAATTGTTGTGTTCTTTGACTTTCTAACTGCAAAATGATGGAACATCCAACAGAGGAGCATATTAGATATTGTTATACACTTAACTCTTCTTTTCAGGTTGGGTTCATGTAGCCCCTATCAGAGTTTCTGTGAGATAAAGGAAAATGTGACCCTTTTGTACAAGAATTAAAAATATCCATAATACATATCTATATGGAACCCCCACCCTCTTCAATGAACTTTTAAGAGCACACAGGATACAGTGGTTAGCTTGTTAACATTGTGCAGATCCAGGTTCAAATCCTCAGTCTGGACCAATCACTATCTCTTGTCCTAACCTACCTCACAAGATTGTTGTGAAGATAAAATGTACCATATCTGAGCAATTTGGAGAAAGAACAGAATAAAGCTGAAATAAAAGTATGTGTGAACTGAAATGAAAAAAAGATGTGTGCACATTTGACAACTTGAGCTCCAGAAGGACCTTAAACATTTTCCACTGAGGCAACAATGTATTATCAAGAATGTCTATTCATGCTGATGGGGATCACTTAATGCTGTGCATTCTCAATTCTCCCCATTATCTTTCTGTGACAAAAAATCTGCTTTTACACATTTGAATCAAGTCACAGTTTCCAATAATTTAGTGTCTGTTAATTTTATCAAATTATCACACAATTTTGAAGGCAGGAGAAATGCTTGGGAAAAATGATTTTGGCTTATGGAAGATCATCTTGAGACTGTTATTTCATGATCTGAGACATTCAGACCTGACCATGTTTCTACTGCCAAAAATTGTCTCAGTAAAAAGTGCTTCTGAACATGGAATTAATTCCTTGTCACTTGACTGCAGCCTACATCATATGCCTAGTAACTGAAGGCAGGGCTTTCATAATAACCAGTCTGCTGTATCAGCTCAAGGGTACAATAAGTCCAGCATCCTCCCATCACCAGTAGTGGCCATCTAGATGTGTTTGTGAACTCCACAAGCAGGACACAAAAGCCACATACACTTTGTTTTTCAGCAATTTATAATAGGCTGGTTCTAATCAGTGACATTCCAATGACAGAGACATGCATGAATAGTATTGCATTATTTTATTTATACCTCATCATTTTTACCAAAGCTGGTATTTAAGTTGGGTGGAGGGAAATGCCATAGCTTACTGTGTATGCTTTGCATGCCAAAGGTCCCACATTCAATCCCTGGCATCTTCCTAGGAAAGCTCCTTACCTGAAATCTGGAGATCCACCGCATGTGTGTAGACAAGACTGAGCTATACAGACTTGTGATCTGATTTTTATACAAAACTGCTTCCTAGGTCATAGATGGGAAACGGGCTCTTTAGAAGTTGCTTTACTGCAAATTCCAGCAGCCTTAGCACAGCCTCAATAGTGAGGAATGATAGGAGTTGCAGTATGAAGACAAGGGCTACTGGATTCACATCCTGATCTGGGTCACTGGCAATGCAAGCAAATTAACTAAGATAATTGTGAGACAAAGTTCTTTTGCCTGTCTTGAACCTCTGTCAGTTACAAGAGCCAGCATGGTCTAGTCTTGAGTGTTGGACTATGACCTGGGAGACCATGGTTCAATTCCCAGCCTGGCCATGAAACCCACTGGGCAAGTCACATATTCTCAGCCTCAGGGGAAGGCAATGGCAAACCACCTCAGAACAAATCCTGCCAAGGAAACTCCATACATTCGCTTCAGATCACCATAACTCAAAACAACCTGAAGGCACATAACGACAATTAGCATAAATACAAAAGTTGATTTTCCTTTTTGCGTTGCTCACTGGTTGCAATCTCAGTTTTTATTTTGTTCGCTAGATCTCATTAGATGCCTGTCAACTGAAATTCTTCATTGTTGATAAAAGATGTGAATAGCAGTATTCCAGGACTTAAACAAGACAATACAAAATCTTTTCAATTTGTCTCCTGTTGTTAAATGCAAGGATAATGGGATAGAATCTTTTAGTTAACTGTTAAACCCAAACCTAAGTGAGGCACTGTAAAAAAAATGTACCGTAAGCTCTGTTTAAGTGTTTTATCCATTTTTTAACCCACCCAAATAAAGATTATAATTAACGGCATACACCAGAATATTTGGAAATGTTGACTTCTCTTTGTTAAAAAGCTTTTGTGAAAGAAAATCAGATACTGTTACACATTTATGTCCTGAAACAAATGCTGTTTTCAGGTCTGTAACTTGAATATGTTACACGCTGAAACTCATACTGAAATATTATTTGAAAGGTTAAAAAGTGCGAGGGTGGGTCTGCATTAGCAATTTTACTCTTAGCGTAATGGTAGACTTTATATATAGGCTTTCCAATATTTTTTTTTAAATCCATGTGCTGTTATGAAAATTACATACCCAGACCAACCACAAACTATTCTTGCTAAAACAGTGCATTTTCAAATGTTTTTATTTGGAATATTCATTCTGTTCTGTATCCAAAAAAAAAATCCTTTAGTTCATTGTTTCTTCTGTGTGAAATGGTGCACAGAATGTTTCTCTCTTCCTCCTAGTGTTAGAATGTAGAGATCCCTTTTTCTGTACATTCAAGTTGTTTCCAATGGAGGTGTGCCATTGCCTTCCTCTGAGGCTGAGAGCATGTGACTTGCCCAAAGCCACCCATGGGTTTCCATGGCCAAGCTGGGAATCAAACCTTGGTTTCCAGAGTCATAGTCCAACACTCAAACCACTGTGCCACACTGGCTTTCACATTTATGCTAACACTGAGCTTTTATTAAGAGAGCTGTCTTGAGTAATACTCTGAAAAGAATACATATCTAAAAGATAGATAGATAGATAGATAGATAGATAGATAGATAGATAGAT